GGTGTAGGCTTGGAGACAGCCGTGGCGTGGACATTGCGCGCAGGAAAGGAAGGCAAAGGTGAGTGCAGCTGTCACAGGGGACTTGAGCGGAGCTGTGGGTGCAGCGCGCGAAGAGGCTGGGTTGGCAGGCATTGGCTTGAGGGTTTCGGTTTTAGGGTTTAGGTTGAGGGTTTAGGGGTTTAGGGTTTAGGGGTTAAGGGTTTAGGGTTTAGGGTTTAGGGGTTTACGGTTTAGGGGTATAGGGTTTAGGGGTTTAAGGTTTGTTCAGGGTTTCGAGTTGGGGGGGCCCAGTTGTATATTCTCTTGGCTTGGGCTGTGGTAAGCTTTAGCTAGGCTTCCAAAGTAAGAACAAACACGCTTCGCACAAATAGAACTAGCTTAAAGCAGGTTTGGCAGTATCTGACCCAGAGTGGCCCAAGCTCGAATCCCCGCGCCTTGGATATATTTTTGGGTGAATTGAGGGGATAGATACCGATAGTCGTCCCTGTATAATGCTCCATCCCCAACCCTAAACCCTAAGCCGTGACACGAGAGGTCTAAGCTCCAAAGCCCCTGCCACCTCCCCCTAATATTAAACCCCCCCACCCCCCTAATCTCAAATACTGCGAATATACTATAATATACCACATAAATGGAGTATTTGATATTAGCGGGTGGGAATTATGATATTAAGGCCGAGGGGAGTAAACATCAAGAAGATTTTGTTGAACCCTGGCCTGCTGCAGCACGGCAGCTGGGTTTACGGCCTTTCCCCGCCTGGAAACACACAGTACCTCTTCTGGAGGTACCAAAGTCCCAACAAGGCTTGGCAAAGTGAGCAGGATTTTATGCATGGAGCTGCAGGGCCTTGGTTTGGGTTTTAGGGTTTAGGGTTTAGGGACTGCACGCATTTATGACTTGATCCGGTTTAGAAGGTCCCGCATCGTGGGGATCTATTGGGTTGTGTTGGATTATGCACCAAGTGGGAATGACGTGCATGGCCGATAGGGGCCATATAGGGTTGTGTAGAGGGTCAAGGTTTGGGGGATTTCCGGTCCTGTAATAGGGGGGGGTTCCCGCTCATGTACCCCTAAATATCATACTCATTATTGTAAGACCCCTAGACTGGGACCTCTAACTTCTGAAAACCCCGAAAAACCAGACCACACTCCAACCTAAGCACCTACCTGGACCCCAAAACCTAAATATGGACCAAAAGGCCATCATTCTGCATACTTTTGGGTTTCAGGTACGCATCTCAAGCCAAGAGCCCATGCCGCTGATGGACGTTTTATATACTGAGTTTAGGGTCTAAGGTTTAGGATGTAGGGTCTAGGGTCTAGGGAAAATCCGATAAACCTAGAATGCTGTGGTACAATTCTATAGTACTGTACTACTACGACACTAACTATCAGACTAAAGCTGCATAGTCCTGTAGCGCATGATGCCGCTCTACCTTTAATGCTGCAATTTCTCGGTTACGAGGTACAGAGAGTCACACACGCAGGATTTTCTACAAACCCTGAATCCTGAACGCGAACCCTGCACCCAACCCCTAAACCCTGAAAAGCGTTTATCCATCAACTGTAAATAAAACCTGCTGTGAGCTTTGTGGGATCCCTGTTCAGGAGTACCTGGAATGTGGATTGTATTATATTGGGATCCATATGGGGCACCCCTTGTTTATGAAAACCCCGCCTACAAAATTCTCGTTTTGCATGCGAAATGCCAGCTGCTGTACATCTGGGCATCTGTACAACATCATGCCACTTGCCTTTGCCTAGCACAAGCGTGCCGCAAAGACTGCTGGAGTTCAAGCGAAACCTGTCAGTTTTTGGGTATAGGGCCTTGGGGTATATACAGGTAAATAAGAGCTGCAGTAGCCTTGGTGAGCCCAAAACCCTAATTCCTGACCTGAGACGCTCAGTATCTGTACATCGTCACGCGCTGCATCCTGCAGCCAGAGAATGCAAGCTATGAGGTGTTCAACCCTCAACCCCTACACCAAAACCCAAACGCAAGATCTGAAAAAGCACGCCCCTGAAACTTACAACCGTGCTTGGGCTGAATCTTCGAGCTTCCGGACGAAAATCCTAGTTGAGGATGCCAATTTTTTTCGTAATGTCTCAAAACAATCCTTGGCTATCCCCCAAGAGCACCCCCATGAAATCCCAACGATCCCCGTACGTCCTTAAGGTCCTTGGGGCACAGGGCTTGGGGGTAACCACCCTGGCCTGTGTTGAGAAAACTCAATTTCATGAGGCAGAAAGGAGCCTTCACCCTTAATTAGATAGAATATGGGGTATATGGGGTATATAGGGATCTTATTATAAGATACCCAAAACCACATTCTATCTACGTAAGGGGGACTGGAAACCTTGGGTGTAGGACTTAGGGTTCCTAAGAACTACCCTGCTTGGAGGGTCAGGGGGACTTAGTAAGTAGGTGAAGAAGACCTAACAGTAACCCTAGTTATCCTAATTATTACTCATCTTACTAAGTCCCCATGATCCTCCAAGTAAGGATCCAAATAGCCCAACGTAGGCAATATTTGTAGACCTCACGGCCCAATGTAGGTATTACTTGTTTACCTGGATCCCGAGGGCTAAACATATTCCTTCATGCGGTACTTGCCATACAAAAGTTCTGAGCCCATCATGAACTACCGGCCCATGCTTCAGGTAAATCACGGAGAAAAAGTCTTGCAATCCACGTGGGCAGTGCAAAAGCCTTGCTCAGATCCACAATATTACCAAAACACCGCAAAAAATCCGCAAACCCCAATGGACTCAAGAAAGACAAGTTCCCTTAGCGACCGCAACCGGGGCAAGATAAAACTGGGTAGTATCTCGGCAAGGAGGTTAGATCCCCCAAGAAAGAGTTAACGGTCGAGGACCCAGGCAGGTCGTTCATACCCCCAACACACCCCTGGAACAAGCCCAACAGCCAAAACCTAGGCCCCACAAGGGAAGCCCTCAACAAGACACGCGGTTCATGGTTGAGAGCTTACGTCTAACCCACAGCCCTATTTCCCAATCCCTAAGCCTTCAACCCTGAACCAATCCTTCAACTGATTTTCGAAATCTTGCACGACAAACGTTCCTGCTTGAAGGGTCCGGGGCCTTGATAATTATACTAATAACCCCTATAAGCCATGTAGTAACTCCAGTTATCCCCATTTCTTCCCTACCTACTAAACCCCATGACCCTCCATGTACTTCAGGGGTGCATGATCTGAACTCAAAACCCTGAGCCTCCCTAAACCTAAACCCCTAAAACTTTCAAACTCAAACCCAAACGACAGCCACTAACAGTGGCTACTAAGAGTCCTTCATGACCTTAAGTGCCTTATACCCTGTCTGGTATAGTAAGGTCATGCAGACTTTCTAAAATCAAGAGTGCCTATCCCTAATCCCTAAACCCTAAACCCTTACTACCCTAAACCCTGAGCCCTTACTACCCTAAACCCCACCCCCTGAACCCTTAATACCCTAAACCCTGACCCCTTAACACCCTAAACGCTAAACCCTATGTAGGCACTTAGGACAGCTCCCTTAGGGCCAGGGTCCTCATCGGAGGCACAGCGCCGGCGGCTGGCTGTCGCCGAGGCGCGGAACCTTCTGAGCCATCACCTTACATGTGTGGGGTTTACGCTTAAGGGTTTACGGCACAGGGTTTAGGCTTAAGGGCTAAGGGTTCCGGGTCTAGGGTTAAGTTTTAAGGGTTTAAGGTTTAGGGTTTAGGTTTGGAGGGTTTAGGGTTCCCTTACAAGCTACACCCGCTAGATTCCCCTTAGTTAGGGTGACTTGAGGCTCATCCAGACAAACGAAGGTATAGGGGAGGTCGGAACCCATGGTCACTGGGTCATTATCTGGAGACACTCCCACATGAGCTAATAGTCTAAACCCCTTAAAGGGGGATTATTGTAGGGCTTATGAAGGGGGATACTAGGAGTTTAGACTATAACCCAAATTGTTTTTGCACATCACTAGACCCCAAGAAGGAGCATGCTTTGTCGAGCGCGGGCCAACACGATGAACTGTATGTTTCCATATAACCCTCGCATGGCTGTGATTTTATACAGACCCCTACCTTGCTTGGAGGATCAGAGGGACTTAGTAAGTAGGTTGATATTCCCTATAACCCGCATAGTAACCCTTGTCATCGAATTTATTAACCTACTTCCTAAGTGCCCATGACCCTCCAAGTAGGGCTTGGGCTTGAGGGCTGAGCTGGTTTAAAATCTAAAGCTTGGCGCCTTTGGGTTTGGGCGTTGGGACTTGTAGCCGTCTTGAGGGTCCAGGATCTCGTGGCCACGGTTTGGGATCTAGGATAAAGGGTCTAGATTTAAGCATGTGGGGTTTAGGGTTTAAGGTTTAGGTTTGGGCTTGGGGCTCATGAGGAATGTATGGGGGAATAGAATCACAAGGGTTTAAGGTGCGACTCAAAAGCCTGCCCCAAAATGGACATCCAGAATGGACCCGAACATAATCCATATGTAGGCAATCTAGTTAGTTCAAGTTCTCCCAAAACCCGAGGGTCCAGCCTAAGGGTCCCACCCCGAAACCGCCTGATAGAGAGGTTATAAGTGGTAAAAATGTTCGATCTCGCCCGAAACTATCAGAAATCCCAGCCTCAAAATCCTCATGATCTCCTGGTCCTTCGATTGCAGAGACCTACCCAGACCCCCAAAGGGATCTAAAAATTAGATCCCCTAGAACCATATGGGAAAATGTACAAGGATCATATAGGGGTTATAATGGTCTACATAGGGGATCTAATTTGTAGATCCTCCCAGGGGTCTGGGTAGAGCATTTTTCCGACTGAATTCCAACACGGCTAAGTCCTCACACCCTAAGCCCCTGAACCTGAACCATAATCTAGGACACTCGACAATTAGAATACTTAGAATAGGGCTTCAGGGTACAACATCTATAGTTATACAATAAGTACTGTCAGGGCAAAATGCTATATTGACCCCCTCAACCTTGAAACCCTAATTTTGAGTTGGGCCTGGCGGCAGCTTCCACAGCTTCGCCTTCAGGCTCAACGTTGTCCATCACCACAGGCAGGACATCCCTTCCCAGAAGATCAAAGGTCTACCAAGGAATGCTTTTTGCGTGGCCCCGTGTCAAATTTAAGAGTTTAGGTTTTGGGGTTGAAGGTTCCGGTTTCAGGCTAACGGAGCGCTTTTCTGATACCAATCGTACACCTCATGGGTTCCCTAAAGCCTATAACCCTACACCCTAAAACCCCCTCCTAAGGTACATCGCAGACATCAAACAGGCATGAGAGATCGCACAAGCATGCATCAAAGCCACCAGTAAAGCCCTATCTCTCAGGTGGACCCCCCACCCAGTAATAGTGACTATAAGGGACAATAAGGATTATATTGAGGTCCTATTATATTTCTATTATACCACTATTACACTCCTAACCTATCTCATGCTAGTGGAGTTCAGCATTTGAGGCACACATTTGTGCGATCTGAGATTTAGGGTTGTACCCTAAACCCTAAACCCTCTCCTGGCCCGCGGCTCCACAGGGTAAGGTGGCGTATTCTAAATGTATCATGTCGGGCTATCATGCTACTTAGGGGGCCGGGGGGGGGCTTAGTAAGTAGGTTAATATTCCTTATAACCCAGTCCTAGTTATTAACCTACTTGCTGAGTCCCCATGGCCCTGCAAGTAGGTGCCACATCTGTTGCAAGCATGCACAACAGTGGAGCAAGTAGATAGGTTGCAGGAGATGTTCAGGAATACAGGATTGCCACCCAGTCTTCCACTGCATCTCCTTTAGCGCCTTGCTTCCAGTCGCGTCTGAAACCTCGAACCCTAAACTTCTTCAAGCGTGTAGAGTCTAAGGTTTAGGGTGTCCTGAAACTTTCTAAAGTAAAACCCGCAACCCTCAAACCCCTAAACCCTAAATCTGAAATTCCTCAAACCTGAAGCTCTGAAACTCTTTGACTGCTGCACTCTCTCAACCCTGTACCCAAAAACTGAATTCATTATTTCTATTGTTATCGATTTTGTTTCGCTACTATCTACTATCATTACTACTAGTATTAAGGCTATTGTGAACACTTCAGTATTACAGGGGCCCGAATAATTACCAATATCATTTTGGGGTCCATTTGATGTACCATATACCATAATTATACAAGGAATATGGAACCATAATATTGGTAATTATTTAGGCCCCTATATTACCATCATTCTGGTTACTTTCTGCCTCGCATCCACGCGGATTCGTTTCCGGCCAGCATTGCCTCTGAGTTGGGAGCCAAAGACCTGGTCAGAAGTCTGAGTTTGCCGGTTTTAGCTCGTAGTGTAGATCCGTGATGAATAAACCCCCTCCCCTTGATAGTGAGGACACTAGACCTCCCAAAAATTAAGGCCCTTGAAAGGAGGGGGCTTATTTAGGTGAGTTGAAGAGTTATGGGGTCCTTTTTTGGGGGGGTTGGGATTACCAGAACCCCTTTAGTAATTAGTACAGCTTTGCCTGTTGTACATGTAGCTTCTGGAGCTGCGTTAGAATTAACCGAATGGAAGTGAAATACTCACGGAGGCAACCCTATGTAAGCCTATATAGTGCGATATACACCCCTATGATACTCGATAAACCCCCTATGGCAAATAGCACCGGACCCTGAGGGTGAGATTATTATTACCATTATCAGTTTTATTCTTACCAGTATTAGTATTATCAATATTATTATTATTATCCTTATTATTGTTGTTACTACTCTTGTTAGTAATGTGTTTATTGTTATTGTCATTTTTTATATTCTATATTCTGCCGCCTAAAATTCCGGCACAGCCATCCCAACATGGCCTGAAGGAGCTACTACAGGGGCCTATGTAATTGGAATTGGGTTTTGGGGTACACTTTAAACCCTATAAACCCTAAACCCTAAACCCAATATGTAGGGACTATAAAGGGATAATGTTGCTAATCACTTTACAAACCCTATAAACCCTAAACCCAATTTATAGGGATCATAAACCCTATAAACCCTAAACCCAATTTATAGGGATCATAAACCCTATAAACCCTAAACCCAATGTATAGGGATTGTAAAAGGATATTATTGCTACTTACTTTTGGCTTCCACGGTACTTACTTACCTTTCCGGACCCCTGCACCAAACTCCTCAGCCTCGCAGGCTGAAGTAGATAGAATATGGGGTATATGGGGATCTTAGGGTTCAGGGTTTAGGGTTTAGGGATTAGGGTTTAGGGTTTAGGGTTCAGGGTTTAGGGTTTAGGGTTGAAGGTCTATAGCCCCTCTTAAGTAGATAGAATATGGGGTATATTATTGGGTAGATGGGGTATATTATTGGGGTCATATAGGGATAATGGAAAAGAAAATGGAAACTACTATCATTGGGTTATATAGGGATATATAGGGTTTAGGGTATAGTCTCCCCTTAAGTAGATAGAATATGGGGTATATGGGGATCTTGTTATAACATACCCAAAGCCAATCTACTTAAGGGGGCTACTCACCACAAACGGCTGATCCGTTGTTAAGGAACTTACATCATCGTACTGTACTTAAAAAATGAGGAATTCCTATTACTCATTGTCTTCAGGGGTATGTAGGGTTTATGGTTACTATAATTAGGAAAGCCTATGCAATTACAATAATCCCATCTTCTAATTACTTATTTAGATTCTTACTATAACTAGGAAACCCTAGTAAGTTTACTATATACTGATATTCTTGTAACTTAACTTAAGTTCCTTCACAGCTACCCAGCAATCCAAGCCAAAGCGGCATTGCCAGTGATGCAAGTCACTTGAGGGCTTGCAGCAAGCGCCGGCTCAGACTCCAGGCGAATGGCCCAGCCGGTGTTGCCTGCAACTGGCTGCCGCTTCAGGGTCGGTTAGCCGCTTCAGTCGTTTGAGGCCTAAACCCTAAACTCCGGGTTTTGGAGGTTAGGGATCTAGGTTTATAGGTTTGGCGGTGTGGCAGGTTTCTGGAATGCACCCGAACTGAAACCATGAAATGGTTTATCAAGGTCATGTGATTAATGAATACTGCCGTTTCGGGATTACGTCGGTGTTGGTGAAAAAATGCAAGAGGTGTGGATGATAGGGTGGCTTGGGACCTGCAGCCCTTGAGTCAAGAAATCCTGCATACCCTGGGAACCCAAGAAAGGAAAGAACGACTTTTAGGGATTAGGGTTTAGGGTTTAGGGCTCTATTCTTTCCGTTTCCAAGAACTCTTGGTTGGTTGGAAATTGTTACATGGTTATCTCAAGAAAGCAGCCCTGCATGTCCCAACGAACACCATCCTTCTTGTGATCGAAATATGGGGGGGGTTGCGTCATGACGAGCTTTTGAGAGTTACCTCAATCCTGAACACCCCCTACACCCTAGACCTAAATCCTAAACCCTTAGGACCATCGCCTTCGAAACAACAGCGCTGCACGTCCGCAGAACTCCTCAAACAGCTAGAAATCATTTGCCAGGGACCCCAGGCATCATGGAGACTAGCAAGAAATGGCCAGGATCGCCGTACAAGACTCAAGATCGATTTTTGTGGAGTTTCCTACTAAGCGTTGGGGCTTTCAATGAAGGTCATAAGAACGGAAAAAGGAAGCCTACAATCACCCTTAAGTAGATAGCATATGGGGTTTATGGGGATCTCATTATAGTATATCCAAAGCCCTATCGTACCTACTTAAGGGGACTATAGGGTTCCATTTAACTTTGGCAGCCTGTACTGTCTGGATGTGCGATTAATGTAGGGGGTCTTGCAACACCCAGGTCCCTTCGCTGCAGTAACTTCTGACACTGCAGCTATTTCAGATGAGCTATAGTCTAAACTCCTAGTATCCCCTCAATAAGCCCTACAATACTTCCCTAAATAATCCCTTATATAACGCCTTTTAAAGGAGTTCAGGCTATAGCTCAGATGCAGATTTCGTGCATGAAGAGAAGGCGGTGCAAGATGACCTTTCTTCTGTTGCGCGGGTACGTTCGGAATTTGGTATTTAGGGTTCTGGATGGATGCGGGGAATCCAGATCTTTCCAATTTCAATGCTCCACCATCCTCCGTTTCTACAGAGGATATCATGGCCCAAACCTGGAAAGTGTCCACGGAAGCTGTAGGGTTTATAGCCCCTCTTAAGTAGATAGAATATGGAGTACATGGGGATCTTATTTTAAATTACCCAAAGC